TATTATTTAGGTCAGCTGGTTCCTTGGTACGATGCACAGGGGCTAACTTCACCCCTTTGTGTGTTAGTGTCTAAAGCAGGGCGTGATAGTCCCAAACTTGCCCCCAGATAGAGAGATGTGGTCTAGAGAGGCCACAGGGACCATGCTGCGGGAAGCAGGAATGAGCCCATTCCATTCAATACACTGTCATTGGACGCCTACTATATGCGTGACTGTGTGGCAGATGTTCTATTGGACATAAAAACAAATTCAACGTCCTATGCTCTTTAGTTGGAATGTTGCAGGGCTGAGCGTGTGCCATGTTGTGATAGAGGTACAAGCAACGCAGGGATAGGGAGAAGGTGAGCCACTTTGCAGGGTCTAATTACAGGGGTTCCTGAATGCCAAGCCAAGACTTGGAAAATTAGCGGATAAGTAATGGAAGAAGCGAGAATCACAAACGTGGCTTCCGTTTTTATTTTTTTAAGTACTTTTTTCTTAAAGAGGAAATTGTAAATAGTTCTGTTGTGAAAGGACCATTCAGGGAGAAAGTAAAAAGAAAACAATGGACAAAGGGTTCAGAATAATAAGAAAGGAGCATGGCCAGGGGAAAGCATTTGGGGCCAGGAGTGGGGGACGATGTGGTAGTAGGGGCTTGGGGTGGCTCACTCCATCTGTCGTGTGAACAAACCTGAGGCGAAGAAAGGGAGGGGTCACAGAAACCTAGTGAGGTGCTGAGGGATAGGTGGGAGGTGGGGCAGGGCTGGGACTCTTACTGTGGACATGTCAATCAAAGCTGACCAGCCCAAGACTCTAGAAGCCAGAAACAATGAAGTTATCACTGTGAAAGGAAAAATACTAGCCTTAAGTTGGAATAGGGTTCCAGTCCAATTCCTTGCCATTGATTTACTATGTAACTTGGATCGAGTCACTTCACTCTCTGAACCTATTTCCTCCACTGAACAATGGTGATTACAACCTCCAGATTTCATGCTGTGATAGATAGCAAAGGCGTGTGAAGGCCCCTTTCACTGAATCTGAGAATCTGAGGCCTTTCTCCAGGTGTTCAGTTGGAATCAGTCTCTACTTCCTTCTTGCATGTAACCATCTTATGTCCCTCCATGAGCTTAGGCAAAGGACAGGCTTTCAGCTCCATGATTCCTAAAAGTCCCCCAGCTCTAAACTTCAAGGTTTCTATGACAAAGTTGGATTTTGTTGGATCAAGTTAACTCAGGTCTACAGAGCACCCAAATGAAACTGTTTCATAAGGAAAATCATAGGTCTATACATAATGGGGCAGTGTTGTGTATTTACACATAGCATATTGGGTCTTGGTAGCCGGTGCAATCTATTTTGGTTGGATTTTCAAGTTACAATCTTATGGCTTAATGGCAGACAGTAATGTAAAGGGAATTATGTTACTACGGCCATTAAAAATAGGCTATATATAGCTTCCCTTCTGCAGATCTTCTCACCATTCTCAACTTGAAATTTCCTTCACTGAATTTTTCACAGCCAACTGAGATGGTTTATTTTGAAAGCAGAACACAGAGAAAAGAGAGAGCACCACCCAGAAAAAGGGGCAGGATCAAAGAGGCCACCAGACCGTTTTCCAGGCTTGTCTGAAAGCCAACAGCAGCCCCTTGAGGGAACTCTGGCCTCAGGATGACAAAATAAATAGTGATCTTGCATCAGGGCTGGCTGGGTTGGCCTGGCACGTTCTGTGCAGGGAACCTTGGTTTCTAAACGAGTGAACTATGTTTGCCTTCCGCCACAGGGACTGGAATGAGTTAGACTCAGAGGTTCTCTTGCTTTTTAAATCATCAGGGATCATTTAGTTCAGGAATCTAAAATTGATACAAGATGATCTCAATGTCAAGAGTACAGTTAGTTTTTTACAACAAATGCTTCTACCTGGAGAATCTATAACATGCTTCTGTCGGACTGGAAGGCAATTTTGGAATAGAATACCTAGGTTTATAAAGGCATCTTAGTCCATTCAGGCTGCTTTAACAAAATACTACAAACTAGATGGCTTATGTACAACAGAAATTTATTTCTCACAGTGCTGGAGGCTGGGAAGTTCAAGATCAAGGAGCCAGCAAAGGCCTTCAAGATCAAGGCCCTTGGTGACTGGTGAGGGCCCACTCTCTGGTACACAGGTGGTACCTTCTAGCTGTGTCTTCACATGGTGGAAGAGGCCAGGCAGCTCTCTGGTGTCTCCTTAATAAGGGCGTTGATCCTATCCCAAAGGTGGTGGTCTAATCACCTCCCACGAGCCCCACCTCCTAATATCATCACATTGCTGATTGCGTTTCAGTACAGAATTTGGGGGGACACAAACATTCAACCCATAGCAGAATGCCATCCTCACATTAATAGAGAGGAGGAAAGGAAGAGAAAGAGAGAGAGAGGAACTCGCAGGAACAATTGTTGTATCTCTTTGAATGAAATGTGGTCTCAGTCCACAGGTCTACAAGGACTCCAGAACTCTCCAGGAATGATGAGGGATGGTGTCTTAGTCTGCGTTTCCGCAACAAGCAGAGCCTAGCACAGCATGGTGGTTTATTTTGAAAAGCAATCCCAAGAAACAGGAGTGAGAGGCTGGGAAGAGACAACTGGAAAGAGGACAAACCAACCAAGGTAAGTTATTGAGCTGGTCAGGCCAGTAAGAAACTGGAGCTCGATACCGCTGGGGATCCCTAGCAAGCAGTGAGGGGGGATCCCGTGGATCACAGGTCACCCCAGGGTGGTAAACCCTCCCCTACACCCAGGTTTCCACACATATCAGAATGACAAAATGAGTGTCCTCAGCATCTCACATGATGGTGGCAGAGGAGCCCTCGAGCAGAAAGTGGGAGGAGTGAGAAGCTGGGAGCTGTTGCAGCTGATGCCAGGACATGGCTGGGGAGAAGGTGGGCAGGAGGATGAAAGGCAGGCTGCAAGGTGCCCCATTAGTAAGAGAGACAACAGCACTTAGTCCCACGTGAGGGTAAACTCGCCCAGTCTAGCCTGGACTCCCAGTTCAGAGACGAAGAGCTAGTCTAATCTTATTTATTTAATATTGTTAAAAGATTCTGGAAAGACAATTTTCTTAGAAAGGAGGAGAGGATGGGCAGAAAGAAAGGAAAAAAAAAGAAAAGATGGAGAAAGGAAGGAAGGAAGGAACATTGCTAGAACCTTGGGCAGATACAAATTCACTAGTTTTTTTCTTCTTCTTCAAAAAAATAGAGTTTTCTTTTTGTAGTATTGAAAAGTGAATTTATGGCTGGGCACGGTGGCTCATACCTGTAATCCCAGCACTTCGGGAGGCCGAGGTGGGTGGATCACAAGGTCAGGAGATCGAGACCAACATAGCTAACACGGTGAAACCCCATTTCTACTAAAAATACAAAAAATTAGATAGGCGTGGTGGCGGGCGCCTGTAGTCCCAACTACTTGGGAGGCTGAGGCAGGAGAATGGCATGAACCTGGGAGGCAGAGCTTGCAGTGAGCCAAGACTGCACCACTGCACTCCAGCCTGGGTGACAGAGCAAGACTCCATCTCAAAACAAACAAACAACAACAACAAAAATAGTGACTTTATGCCTGTATTAAATTATTTAAACACTTAAAACAGAATATAGAATGAATAAATTTCTCTCCTATCCCAGATCCCACTCTGTCTCCCCAGAGGTGATTATTGCTACGAGTTTCTTGTGTATTCTTCCAGAAATATTTGTATTAACACATACGCATATTTCCTTTCAAAATTACAACAAAAAAGAAACACATTGTGGACCTTTTCCATTTCCTGCCCCCCCACCCCCCCACTTTGAGGATTGCTTCATATAAGCTTATGTAAATCTACCTCATTGAAAAAATTCCTTTATAATACTCTGTTAGAAGTACTTGCCTAATTTATTTAACCAGTTTTCTTTCGATGGATAGGTAGTGTATTTTTTCCCCTTTTTCTCTCATTGCTAACAATAACGTGTTGAATATTCTTGTTTGTTCTTTTCTGTACAGATCTCTAAGAATATTTGTAGAATACATTTCTAGGAGTGAAACTGTGAAAAAAACTATGTACAGGTAAGCTTTTGGGAAAGATTGCCAAGTTGCTCTTCGAGGGTTCTCGCAGATTTATGCTCCTACCCCAGGGAGGAGAGTGCTTGCTGGCAGTCCCCTCTTCATATTGCTGATTGCGTTTCAGTACAGAATTTGGGGGGACACAAAAATTTTTCACAGCCAACTGAGATGGTTTATTTTGAAAGTAGAACACAGAGAAAAGAGAGAGCACCACCCAGAAAAAGGGGCAGGATCAAAGAGGCTGGGAATTTGAGACTAGCCTGGGCAACATAGTGAAACCCATCTCTATTAAAAAAAAAAAAAAATTGGTCTGGTGTGGTAGAATGTTCCTATAGTTGTAGCCACTCAGGAGGCTGAGGCAGGAGGATCCCTTGAGCCCAGAAGCTTGAGGCTGCCGTGAGCCATGATCATGCCACCGCACCTCAGCCTGGCAATGGAGCGGGACTCTGCCTCAAAGAAAAAAAGTGAACATTATTATTTTAATGTATGTCTACTTAATTATGAGTGATTGTCAATGTTTTATCATGTATTTATAAGCCAACTGTTTTTCACTTTCTGAGACTGCCTGTCTCAGAGCCAAGACAACAGATAAACACAACGTCCTGGGTGTAGACTGTGCCTGTGTGCATCACGATTTATCTAAAAATCGCCACTGAAACCTGCAGCAGGCAGTTGTGCCAGACCACAGGTGATGACAGGGGGCAAACGTGATTCAGCCTCTGCCTGCAGCATCTACAGTCCGGGAAGGAGCCCTTGGGTAACCCAGTGATTAAAATAATGCATTTAAGTGCCGCAAGGGGAACTAAGAGCGCTACCCAGCAGGGGTGAGTCACCTGACCTGGGGAGTCCAGGAGACAGCTTTGAGGAAGTCCTCTGTCCCCTGAGACTGGGAGGGGGATCTCAAAGTTACAAAGCAAAGGGGCTGGGGCAGAGAGCATTGCCAGTAGGAGGCAGGAAGACTGCTGAGGGGACAGACTGCTGAGGGTGAGTGTGGGGTAGGGGTGGAGCAGAGGAATGAGGAGAAGAGGGGAGTGGTGGGCCCATTCAGTCTGCCAAGGACTAAGGAGAATTCCAGACTTCAGTGCTAAAATCAGGGAAGGCCCTTGCTAACCTGGCAAAGCGAGTCCCGCATAAAGCTGCTTATCAACCCTGCTGAGGATTTCAGACTATCTTAAAGGGCATAGTGACCGATCGGAGCTTTCAGTAGGGAAGTGATGCATACGGAGTTACGTTTTCCGAAGGTCAGCATGGTAGAGTCTGACATGGACTGGGCAAGGGGGCAGCGTGGCAAGGCTGGAGGTGGAGAGACCAGCTGGGTGGCAGTTTGCAGTAATAGCAGCGAGAGAGGATGGTGCCTGGAAACAGCGATATTGGCAATGGAGACAAAGATCAGCTTGATTTAGGGGCTGGCCTCTGTGAGTGCTGCTGTTCTCTGAGGGGAGTGGGAGGACCCTGTCAGGGGAGGAGTGGTGTCAGAGGAGGGAGCTGATGAGTTGAGAATCCACCCTGTGGACAGGGACGACCTGAGAGATAGCCAAGTCATCATGTGCAAGAGGCCGTTTGATATCTGGATCCGCAGTTCAGAAGAGAAGATCTGGTGGAGATAAAATTTGGGGCAACGTCACCTTTAAAATGCGAACTGAAGCCCCATTGGCGTAGATAAGAACACCCAAGGGGATCCAGGAAAGTCTGATTCAGGGCTGCAAAGATAATATCATTAATTAAAAATAAAAACTGCATTTACGAAAGTACAACATAGTTTGGTTTAGAATAACAACTTAAAAATTATTTAGTAGGTGGTCTTTTATGAACGTGTATTTTCACAGACACGTAACCCTGCTGTAGTGTGTGTGGGGGAAGGGGTCGGAGGTTGATCACAAGGTCTCTGAGGTACCTTCAGACCACAGGGTCTGGGCAGGTAGTTTGTCCTTTCTGTCTGCACAGGCCTGCAGTGTCAGGAGGGAAATTCTGAGGCCTGAGGCCTCAGACCCAAGGTCACATGACTGATCCAACAAGAGAACTCAGGTTGTAGAACCATAGTCACTTGAGGTCAGGAGTTCGAGACCAGCCTGGCCAACATCTCTACTAAAATACATGTCTCTACTAAAAATACAAAACGAGTAGCCAGACATGGTGGTGGGTGCCTGTAGTCCCAGCAATTCAGGAGGCTGAGGCAGGAGAATCACTTGAACCCAGGAGACACAGGTTGCAGTGAGCTGAGATTACGCCACTGCACTCCAGCCTGGGCAACAGAGCAAGACTCTATCTCAAAAAACAACAAACAAACAAACAAACAAAAGAACTGGGAGGGATCCTGGTGCTCTGTGAACAAGACTAATAGCCTCATTTTTCAGTGAAAGTGTGGTGTTTGCTGTGAGAGTGAGCAGATACTGCCATAGATCTCAGAGACCAGCAAGGCTGAATAAGCTGAACAGGAAATGGGGAAAGGCCACAGGCTTGCACACCAATGGCCACAACCTGTTCACTCCCTGCAGGTGAGTTTCTCCACATCCACTGTAGCCACACATCACTCAGCAGCTCCACACACTGCTCACCTCACAAAGGACGCACCTGAGGCTGGGCAGCATGGTACCCGATAAGGGAAGGCTAGGCTGATTTTACTCCGCCCAAAGGGAAAGAGGGCTCTGCCATTCTCTGATATGAGGAAGGCTTGCACAGCAAAGAATGGCAGAGCCTTCTTTCCTGTTAGGTGGAGTAAAATCAGCTCCTTCAGCTTTTCTGAGTAGTTTCACACAGTATCCCACTGATGGAGATGAAGATTGTATCCAATGTTCCATAGCTAATATATGGTCGAGATGAGAGTTGAATCAGATTTTTCTCGTTTATTTCATCATCCATTTAAGAATTACCGTTACCTGGGCATCTACTAAGTGCCTTGTGCTCTGTGAGGCTCAGGACACAAAGCAGAGTGGAACTCTCAGCCACCCTGCAGATCACTGAAACACCTTCCTCTTTCTGCTCAGGCAGGACACTCATGCCGGGCCACCCTTCCTGAGGACACCTTCCTTCCCTTGCCTGGAGAGCAGCATCCCGCCCTGGGCCACCCTCTATGTGGATGCCCTCCCCACTTCCCCAGGGCACTGATTCCAAGCGCAAGGTGCACCTGCAATAGACACTCCTCACTCCTCTAGTTCTGCCATCCGGCCCTGGGCCATCCTTCTGTGCAGACCCCTCCTCACCTCACTGAGGGTCTGAGTCTCCATGCCAGGACACCCTCCCTGGCCAGGACCCGCTTCTGACCCTGCTTTGGTCTCCGACACATGCTGGGCTGCCCCCTCCTATGTTGGCACCCTCCTCACTCCACATGGGCCGCAACCTCACACTGGTCCACCCGCCCCTTATGTGAGCCTCTTTCTCACCCCAGTGGACTCAACCCTCCTGCTCTGGGCACTCTACTTCCTGCTCCCCACTCAGCTGCGGAGGCTTGCCTTGTTCTGCCTTACCTAATGGCTTCTGAACAGAATTTTCTGGAAGGGAGAGGAAGAAGCAGCGAGCTGGTTCTCTTGGCCTGTTCCTGGATCCCATCCTTCTCTTTTGTTCCCGGCTCCTCCATTCTCTAGGAATCTCAATCTCTTCTGGCATTGCTGAGTTCTCCAGGTAGGTGAGGTTTTTGCTGGCCTTCCGTGGGGCTCCCCTGCCTCCTACCCCATTCCTGTGCTATCTCTGATGGCCTGGAGCTCTCTAAGGGTCAAAGCCATGTGGGTTCTGCAGGAAACTCTGGAAGAATGCCTCTGCTCAACACCTTACTTCGTCACAGTTGGCCAGAGAATTCCCCAATCAGTGTATTGCCTGGGCGCCATGTTTCACGGAGTTTGATGTCAGCTTTTACAGGGTGTCTGTAGCAGCTCTGCTCTTACTCTTCTCCTTCCCTCCACAATCTGGGCTGGGAGACAAACCTGACTGGCAGACAGCACCGTGCATGTGGGATTTCATCCCATGTCCCAGCTTAGGCCTTGTGCTGACCGATTCAAGCCTGTAGTGCCCTCATTCCTGTCCTCTTGAAATAATTAATCTCCCCAGCTCTCATACAAACAAACTTCTAGTTGCCCACCACCACCCATTCTACACCTTTTAAAAGCCCAATTGTGGGCACAGCTTGGGCTCACGCTGGACCTCCTTCAACTACCTGACTGAGCATGCTTCTCTTACACTGTTCTCCTTCCCCTCAATGTGCCCCATGTGCCAAAGGTCCCGGTTCCAGCCCTTTCGAGAAGGGTAATAGCAAGGAGCTGAGAGGCTTCCTGGAAGACGGCGGGTGATCCAGGGCTGAGGAGTCTATCCAGTAACAAAGCTGAGGTCACAGGTCTCTGAAAACTGCATCCCAACCCCCACCTGCGGACCACCAGCCTCGGTGAGAAGCGAAAGCCTGTAAACCACAGAGGAGTTAAAAAAAAAAAAAAAAGTTAAGTCAGAAAGCTGCCCTCTCTGCACCGTGTAAGAAAGCCATGAAACAAGGGTGAGAGAAGCGTCTTTTCATACTCCCAGACAACCTCCGCTTTTTGTCACCAAGGAATTTAGCCATTTACTGGTAATGTGCCTGAATGAGATGATGGGTGGCCCGCAGGAGCCGAGCGCATTCATCCAGGGCTGCTTCTGCCCAGATCGCAGTAGTCATGGCTACATGTGGCCGTATATATGTAAATATTAAATTACTTAAACTAAAGAAAAACCACGCGTAGCTTCGATTTCAGGTGCTCATGTCACGATTGGGCCTCAATGGCCACCCCTGCTGGACAGCCAACTCTAGAACATGTCCATCATTGCAAAGCCAGTCGGCTAGCACCACTGGCGGCTTGGACAGTGATGGCCCACAAGAGCAAGATGGTACACGAGGGCATCCGGGGTAATGTGTTTGTGCTCCTCTCCCCTGCTGCTCATCGTCCAAGATCTGAAAGACTGGTAATATCCCCCACCAGAATATGCCTGAGTGCATATGATCCTCTGCCTTCTCTGCTTTCCTGATTCCATGGTCCAGACTTTAAGTGCCTA